TCAGTGGAAAGAGAAAGTGGCGAATATCCAGAGTTTGTGACTTGTTCAGACGTCTACAAAGTAGCTGGCTTTTATGACATTTATTCGAACCGCCAACCAGTTATCTAATGAACAAAGGAGCTTACGTAATCTGCTCAAGTGATAAATTTAGGGAACAGGTAGTTAGAACGTATCCATAATGCAAATAACTCCGCCCGGTCAATTTAAGCATTTGTTTGCAGTTGATAATGGCTTTGTTTTACCGGCCAATTCAATTACAGTGTTGTTCAGTACATGTTAATGGACCCTTAACTATATAGCACCATCCCACAGTAAAGGTTACAATATTTATAACAGAACCTCAGTATAACGAAGGGGCAAGCCGCGACTAGCAAAATATGTTCCCTATAACGAGGTTTCGTGTTCCGTTCCATATATTATACTGTTCTTTACTGGGGCGAAGAATTTCGTTCGTTTTACCAAGATCGATCTAGACCACTTTATATAGAACCTCTTTTATATTTGCGAGATTCTACTCTACTGTATATGTTCCGTGCGCTCAGTTAAACTTCCAAGTTTAAGTTCAAATTCATTATATTCGCACATTTCACATTAAAGAATACTTATTTTTCATATGAAAAGAAATAATTAAGAGAAAAGAAAAACCAAAATTAAAGTGATTATAATTCTTCAGTGAGATGTGCGTAGTTGCAAAAAAGACCAAAGCTTTCAAATAGGCCCACTACCAAAGTGCGTATTATCAAAGAGAAGTGGGTAAAATTCACAAAGCTATCATTATGAAAAAAAAAAACAAAACAAAAAACTAATCAGTAGTAAAGGTGGAGAAGGACAGATCATAATTTAAGCCATAAAAGAAACTATTTACAGCGTTGATAATCATTTATTTTTGACTCGAGGAAGAAGAGAAGAGTAAACTTAAGACTTCTTACTAAACAGTTCTTGGTTCGTATTAAATGTAAGCTATGCGTATTAATTATTTTTTCTTTCCTCTTTATAGCTAAGCCGCTTTTTACTAGGACGACAAATGGGAAGGAAGAAAATTGAGAATCAATCTCGACGTACTAAATTGACCAATCAGAGAGCGTTATAATCTAGTTTAGTGTCTCGTGATTCTCGGAACCACTGAAAGTGCAAGGCTGTAACTTTTCTGATGAGCAATACTTCAGCTTATAAGCCTTTAAAAACGTTTTTTGTGTTAGTATGAACAGCTTAATTCACGTACTGTTGATTTTTCAATAACTTCAACTGTTACTAGTAGCATCCGAGGTCGGGATTACGTTTTAATCAACCAGAGTTTTGAAAAAATCGTTGGTTAAAACCAATAACTCGATGAACTCCGCAGCACCACTCATATTTTTGGAAGGAAGTTTTTGCCTTGCTCTCTCGATAGTTTCCACCAAAAAAGCTATTAGTTTTACCAAGTCTAATATTTGTGACATCACAGTTCATTTTTGCGTTCGCAAAAACAATTACGGTTTTCAAAGCAACTTGCCTTGTTACAACAAATATTTGTCGACTAAAAAAAAAAAAAAAAATAAACAACCAAAACAAATAGAAAAGATTGAAAATGACGGTACTGTATTAGGGACACTTTCAAATTTAAGCGATTTTCTATAAGTTTTGGAGTAAAGGTCATTTAATTTTCTCGAGTCCAGGAACTAAAAGTATGGGAAGCTCTTGTCGCATGTGAGCACGAAAGTCAACCTCTCCACTTAACCACTCTTTAATGAAACACAAAATCATAGCACTCTTTACAATGTCTTGTTATTATTAATGCCAGGTTTAAAGTGAATTGGCCCGCCTAGAATGGCTTCCAAGGGGTATTCCAAGAAAATGGCGGAGTTAGTCGACGGAAGTGTCCAAAAACGACCTTAAAGGGTTGATTTCCAGTGTCGCGTAATTTTTACGTGCGTACGTGCGTCAAATTTTAGCCAATAGAATAGAGGCAATGCATGGAAGGTCGCTCGTAAGCGTAAAAGTTGAACCTCGCTAAACTTCTCGTTAAGCTCAGCACTTTTTATCTTGCCTCTGTTTTATTTACGTGATGAAAATTTACGTGCGTTAACGTGCGTAGCCAAAAACGCCTCAGTGGAAATCAACCTTCAAGGGTATCAAAAACTCGCTTATACATCATTCTTCGGGGTCAATACCCTTAACCCGGCACTCTCAGTAGTACCCAAAGAAAAGAATTCTACCAAAAATATTCAAAAGTTCGTCTTATAAAAGAAATCAGGCTTGATTTTGCTGCGCCAGAGGAGGGAGGATGCGTGCATAACATTTCTCAAGCGAAGTTACTCTTCTTCCGACCTGCTACGAAGCTTAGTGCCGCGAGTTGCGCACACAAGACCGTATGCCCTTAGAACAGGAGAATCTGTTTCTGTGCCTGCCTCCTCAAGAACTAACAGATTTGGAAATTTTTGCACCATCAAATACCAGAATCACGTTTAAAATAGCGAAATGTGATATGTCTTAACATTAACAGTTATATTTACGTGTCATAATTCCGAGGTATTTGTATGTAATTAATGACCCGCCTTGTAATTCAGTTTATACTGCAAAAAGGTTGAATAAACGATCATTATTATTATTATTATTATAAGTTCTGCTCAAAAGGTCTTATTTGAATGGTAACACGATAGGATTTCGTTTCGTCCAGGAATTTAAAAGTTAGAGTGAAAAATAATCTCCCTAATGTGGTCTAGGACAGAAAAGTCTAAAAACCGTAAAAGGTTCAACGGCAGCTTTAGATTAGGCACCCTAAGCTGTAAAAAAGACGACGAGTGCCCTCGACATTTTTGTAAGGAATCACCGAGAAGCAATTTTTCTTAAAATCGTTTTACTCGCAAGATCAAAGTGTGATCACAATTTCATGTAATAAGCATGATAAGGTATATCTGTCCACCCCACATATAAAACTAATCACAAGATTCCTCTGAACTAGTATCTCTTATTAACTGGTTTTTCGATTCGAGGCAAGAGTCCTTCATATTTTTTTCGTAGTGCACGTGAACTTTGTCGTCTTTTCGCTAGCCAATGGAGAGAGTTAATTTCACGTCGGCCTGCTGTCGTCCAACCATCGGAATATCTCTTGAGGTCGGGCGAATTCGGTGAAACAGGCTCAGAAATCGGGCTTCCGAATTTCGAGTCACAAGCAGTCAATACGTTTACTACTCCTGAATCTTTCAACAAAGGTAACGAAAGTGGAGCATTCATCAGAGGCGAGCAAGGAAGAGTATTTTTTTGTACTGAATAAATACGTTTTCCTTGTATGGGCGGCAATATTTCTTCAACCGGACTTAATGCTTTTTTGTTTTTCTTAATCTTGTTTATATTCCATGTGTTAATCCTTGGAAGTTTGAAGTTTTTATCAGAGCTTTTGCCGTCAAAAGAATTTGCGCCAGCATCTCTCTTGTCCCGTCCCAAAAAAGATAGAAAGTTTTGTGAGCCATACGAGGAAATAAACGAGTCACTTGTTATCCAAAGAAACTCTGCTATAGGTGAAGTCGAAGTTTGGCCTCCTTTATTGCCTTCCATTTTTTGCTTTTCTGCCTTGATTTCTTGTCCGTCCATGCTGCTGTTATCTATAAAATCTTCTAAGATGGCTTCTTCCATGTCAATGTTACCGTCAATTTTCTCAAAACATTCACCGTTACCATTTTCTTCTGCTGGTAAAAATCCTTCTTCGTTCAACCCAGGAAGAGAATTATCCGCTTCTTCGTCCATTGGAAAATAAAAGTTTTCTTTTTTCCTCAAAAGAAAACCGAATAAATGAAGCGGGAAACGTTTATGCTTTGACCGTATGTGTGTATATTGTGTTACGTTTTCCAGATAAGACGAATTAGTTGTTTGCAAAAAAAAAATCGACGTTGTCTAGCGACGAGAAATTTGCTGGCGACAGACCAGCCTTCGGTCTGCCATCAAAACAAAAGTTGACCCACACTTTTGTGTTAATTAGCACTTTCAGGTGTGAACATTTTAAATACAACATCGCCTTCAATGAGGAAATTGCATTAACACAACAGAAATGGGCAGAAGTAACTATTCAAAAATAAAACAAGTTGGGTAAATAAACTAACAAAGAAGTATAAGTCTGTTAATCGGACGCTAATGAAATGCAAAATGCTATCATGGAGGAGAAATTATCGATAAACGGCTTTCCTTTACTTGCTCTAATTCACCAGATCATACAATTCATTTGACGAATGAATTAAGAAAGCTAGCCTGAGGAAGCCTTACGCACAGGCTGCTCGCGCAAAAAAAAATGCAAATGCAAAAAGTTAAGGATGGTTTCAGAGGTTTATCATGACTTTAACGATGTTAAAATGGTACACTGCAATTTGTACACACCAATTGTTAAAACTCTATGTTAATTACAGCGTTTTATCCTCACCATCCTATTAGCAAATTTCGGTAACAAAAAACCAACAGCAGTCGAGAATTAGTCACTATTTAGACTAAAAATAAAAGCACAAGATGGGCGAGGGAACTTCCCTTTGGCCTTTGTTACGCTACAAAGTCGAGTCTATGTATGAAAACTGAAGTGTCAGCGGTAACTTAAACGTTCTCGAAGGCCGGTTTTTAACCCTCGACTGAAAACTGATCACCAGATCTCTCCGGCGACCAACCACAGGACATCTTTCAAGTTCATCATGCAAGTCAGTAGCTCTTTTTCTCACTTGCATCCTGTTGCGTACAGTGATCAAAACAGGCGAGGATGTCTTTTAAATTCGTCGTTTTTATTATCACCAGCAGAACACGAATAAGTTCTTTCTGTACAGTATTAATTACACGGAAAAAAGAAGCGACTGTGTAAATATCAACTATAAAATTGGTATTCCGCTACAGACAAACATCTTAGAGGAAAACCGCGGCAAAGTACGTTATTGGAAGCTTGAATATAATATACATTTTCATATTTAGCATTTCTCTTGTAACTGGATAATCAAGCGAATGGAAAATTTCGCTATCCAGTCACAACCAAGCTGCATCTTACGAACCAGTCAGAACCAAAACAAAAAACCAATTATGACTACTTGGCGATTACTTTCTTGCTGTTTCACTTCGTTTTTTGACTTTTCCCCCCGCTACGGAGCCTAGTCCCAGGCTATCTTTTTAGCTTCAACTTCTTGGCCCAGTTCCTCGATATCTGGTTAGTTCTAAACCTGGGGTAACCATAAACATAACTTGAGTGGTAGCAGTTATTTAACTATCCTCGATTATTAGTGCTATTCGCAAGCCCCTCAAACAACTCAACCCAGCTGTTTGGTAGTTTTACAACTGTTGTCACTGGTATAGTTTTCCTTTAAGTACAAAAATGTAAAAACCACTCAGGATATGAGATTAACACTTCTTTGCAAACATGGCTCGTTAAAGGGTAGACCCATAACATTACATTTGTTCAGTTCTTAGATTAGGAATACGTTGTCTTCGGCTACATATATTTTATTATCATCTTGCATAACTTGTAAAGCTGACTCAATTTCCGCGTCGCTGAATGCCTTCAAAGACTTCTTCACAGTGGACAGCGGTAAGCTCTGAGCATGCGCTGACGAAAAGGCTCCTAACAAGGCCGCCTTGAATTCACTGAGCCTGAAAAACAGAAATCGCAAAATTTCATTACAAGGCATAGCTCGTAAGAGACTTCATCACCTAGACCAGCGTTATCTCTGCTCAAACGTTATCAAATGCGAGTTCTCTGGCCTGAGAAAAAAGCCGACATTTCTCGACGACACCACTAGTTTCTTCGCGAAACGAAGTCTGAGAAACGGGCGAAGAAATTCCATACTGATGACGCCTCGCTACCCAGATCTGGGTCGTGCTTCTGATAGGTCATGCCGCGCGGTAAATTTACTTCAGCCAATCAGAAGCACTACCCAGATATGGGTAGTAACACGTCATCAGTATGGAATTTCCGCGCTTTATTCTCAGACGTCATTTCGCGGGGAAACCAGTGGTGGCATCGTGAAATGTCGACTGTTTTCTCTGGCTACGAGTTCTCTTTCAGCGTACTGATTAACGCATGTCAGCTTCACCTTTTTGGAAAAGAAACTGAACACTTGTTTTTACACTTGACTTGATTCTTACGTAATTGGCTCTTCTTTAACAACTGACTTTTCCTATTCATTCAAAAAAACGGCAATGGAAGAAAAGCATATCTCGCTTTTAATGTTGAAGAACAGTAAGACTGACAGCATCTCAAACGATGACGGTGACAAAGCCCGGGTTTAAAAACAAGGCATTTTTTGAGCAAGATGCCATCGAGAATGGAGAGGTCGTTACGTCACGTTGCCATGGTAGCGAAATTTCTGGATCTCAACAACCTTGGTCCAGTAAATATGACAGGAAAGAAAACGAAAAAGTTGTCAGGTATGACTTTCCTATGCAAGATTGCACACAGAAACAAAACGGTAGCCCATTCTTTTTTCCATCGTTTGACAATGCAAATGGCCGTCTCTGTCAAGAAAGATTGTTGAAATAAAAAAAATTTCCTACCATAGTAACGTGACATTAATCCTCTCCTCTTTAGAGAGGAATTTGATACACAACTAATTCTTATTTCTGAATTAGAAGAAACTTTAGTTAATCAGTAAGGAGAAGTTATATGATACCTTTCGGACGATAAAGTGACAGGTGTTTTATCTTCAGTTGTGTCCATGGGCTCCTCTGCGTCACTTGTCTTGGTCGTTCGACGCCGCTTCATCTCTTCAACCACATCTTAGGAAACAAAACAATAATAATCATGTGACCCCCTGGTACGCACGGGATATACATAGTACACGCTGCCAGCAAAGCCTTTCTTTTGCTTGATCGATTTTAGCGCACTCGAGAAAGACTCTTCATGAATCGACTAAGATCTTTGTTGGGCATGCGCAGCACCTTGCCGGGATATAATTTCGAACCCAAGGCCTTATAGTCGTGCGTTTGCTACAGCGGGCTCTTTCATGACCATCGGTTTAACAATAAACAGATGCTCGGACTCGATAAAACCAGTTTGACGAGAGAAAACAAGATTGACTAGTCCAGAAGTTTGGGCTGCGGCGACCTCAAAGGCTGATTCAGGCAGAGCCTCTTTCCCCCTAAACTTGCTACAACTCGACCTCTCATAAATTCTTAAAAGTGAGCGAAGCGAGTTTCAATGCATGAGGTCGCGCAGCGACTGAGCGAGCGACGAAGCCTCATCGATCAAGAAGACAACAAGAGGCTCTGTTTGCAGGGTGTAAATACGGGAACTTACGGCACGAACCATTCAACTAATATTTCAAAGATATCATGTCCTTTCCACCATCGGGTATATTACCAACTCACAATAGCCTGCTTTCCAGTTGGCTTGATTACCTCAACGGATAGAGTGAGGCTTTTGGTCAATCGAAAGGTCAAGGTTCGATTCCCGGTCAAGCCTGAGAATTTTCAGCCTGAGGTTCTTTTTCAATCGTTTAGGTTGTTCATTCTATTGCAAAGATCACGTTCACTTTCATATCTTTATCGGCAGTTCAAAATGACTTATTTCATCCGACATTCACCATTTCCAATCTAAGCTTCTTTCAGGCGTTCAGATTTCGCGGGACACTCGCACGCGCGTGCATTCCCCTCGCAAAATCTAAAGAAAAAAAGAGACTGCTCGCAATTATTATTTTCTTAAAAGTCTTGGAAGTAATGAACAGTAAGCACAAGCTACGTTAAAAAGATGAGACTGTTTTTGAGAAGAAGCAAATCATTTACCTATAGATTCGTGTTCTCCCTCATCCTCATCAAAGTCATAAGGGTCGTATCCTTCCTCGCCTTTCTTCTTTTTCGCGACCTTCTGTTTCTTGGCTTGTTGTTGAACCGTTTTACTGAAAAATGAATAAAGTAATTGCTATTAACAAAACGGCAAGGGCACTGTAACAAATAGCGAGGGTATTAGGAGGGGAAACCGGTGGTGGCATCGCGAAATCTCGGCCGGGTGACCGGTCGTTTTGCCTACAAGTCGTTTCGCTAACGTTCCGTCTGCTAACGTCTTATGTCGTTCCGCTAAGAAGCGAAACGAGCGCTACGCATGTATATGCTTCGTTCTCTCAGCCATGATACAAAAAAGTGCGATACGCATGTTTATACCTCGCTCTTTTAGCCACTGATCAGGTGAAAGCAGTTAGGGAACTGACCCAACAAGTACCACTCGTGGACGAAACGACCGTACGTAAGTTGACTGGTCACTTCGTAATTATAATTATTTTTTCCAATTCTCTTCGTCCATACGCCATAAAGATTATCGGAATTATTTTCGTGGCCGAGCGGTTAGAGCGCTGAGATTGTACTCCGGAGGTCTCGGGTTTAAGTCCCACCCTGACCGCTAGCTGGATTTATTTTGGTAGCCCCGAGTTCACTGTTTTCATTCTTAACCATGTGGGCCACATTGAAAACGACTTGTTTACCAGGAAATGTGTTACCCCTACGAAGTCAATATTTTTTAATTTCCTAACCTTTTGGCTGTTCTTTGCTGTGACTGGCTCTCCTGCGATTCACCTTCCTCCTCTTCACCTTCACTTTGCTCGCCTTCAGATTCGTTCTTCCTCTTCTTCTTTTCTCTTTTTTCCACCTGATAAAAGTGAAACGCAAATCAGCATTTTAGCGCGACTTGTCATTAGCTGTCGCCAAACCAAAACGAGAATAATAACCAATCACAACAGGCCTGACAAGGCAACGAACCAATCATATTAAAGCTCGTTACATGGCCAGCACCAAGCGCGGGAAAACAAGCGCATTCAAGTCTTGGCTGTCATTTAACCCCTGATTGGTCGAGAGAGTGTTTTGCGAATTTTTAGCCAATCATATCACAGGATAGAAAATCTAAGGCTACGTTCAACGGCACTGGACGAGTTTTCGACCGATTGAAAATTGGTGCGTTCAGGTTTTCCGTTCACATGGAACCAAGCTAACCGTATGAAATTTAGACGCCTTGCCCTTCAAAGTCCCGTGTGAACAGAGAGAAAATATTGAACGGTCTCGTGTGGGCCAAGTGTCCGGTCAAATTGTTGAGCCGGTCTAAAATTCGTTTGGTGCCGTGAGAAGCTCGCCCAAGTCACCAAGAATTTCTCTAGAAGCGGTGTGTGAGAACTTTGCAGTAGATAAACATTTACCTTATGAAAGTATGCAAAAGACACCATGTCAATTGCAGCCTCAGCATCATCCTAGGAAAACAAATAAATAAATTTTCATCTCCCTGGCATTTCAAAGGACATGTTAAAAAGAAGAAAGGAGAAATGATTCCGCCAAAAGCTGAACTACTGACCTCTGTGATTTCCTTACTCATTCTTGCTTTAGCGTGAGCAGTTGCTAAACGAATCATCGTTTCCAAAGTTCGCGCTGTAACAGGCATTGTCTACAAGAAAAGAATTGAATGAAAAATTGAATGACGCAAAAATACACATAATACGGTTTCTTTATTATATTTTGTATTCATTGAGAGGGAGAGAAACAATAATGTTAATATTCTCTCACTCTTTAACCATTATTTATGGGTCAATTCAGTGCTTTTGCACCACGCGGAGAGGATTTACGACTATAAACGTGGAAAGGCGATAATAAACCAAACTAACGTGTCTGAATAACTTCAAGAGATTTGTCTTCACTTAACATACCTTTGCTTTCTCGCTACCAACATTTTCCTGGTCTCTCAGTTCTGAGTAACTACTGGAAATTTTGTCTGCCGCTTGTTTTGTCAAACGAGGCTAAAATGAGAAGAAAAGAGACAAGAAAGACTTAAAGAATGAATTGTCAATTGAGTTGTCAGGAGAAAGTTGAAAGCTACCTTTATAATATAACGTAGTTATAATAAAGTTCAGATATAACGCGTAATCTGATTGGTTAAAAAAGCGTGCTTTATGAGAGTATAAAACAATGCTGACGACACACTCTTTTGCTTTGAAAATAAAGTTTGTTTTGAAAATTATAAAGTAATGCGTGGGGAGATTTAACGGTTTCTTTATCATTAAAACAACTAAAGAAGCCTTGACTGTGCTCT